TTATAGTAATAAACATGGAGTTAATCATGAGTATTACACGTTTCAGAAACTTTATTTATTACTAACTAAACTGTCATTTACTTGTTAATATATATTGAACCACGTTACTTAAATGTTATATAGCTACACTTACGAATAAATCAAAAAGCCATAGGCTTTAAAATCTTTCTTTAAAGGCTTAAAGAAATATATACTTTCTTATCGATCGTAAACAAAGGCTTCAAATTAACATGAATGTAACGTTTTAAAAGTCCCATGGTGTTATAGGAAAGAGGTTTCATTCACAGTGATATCACTATCATATTATATAAACATATTTAAGTGCAAAACGTTTACTTGGAGACGAAGAACAAGAAAATTATGATCCAGAGATTACTGTAAATAAAATTTATTTTTTAGCAAGAAAAATTTGATATACATTAGTGAGAAACATTTACTAAAAACAATCAGAATATCAACTGCTAGAATAAAAAGAGAAATCCTAATCTTTGATTGAGGTTTCTTACCTATTCGTTGATTCAAATATATACAAAAGATAAGCTATAGCTTCTCACTAGAATCTCCAACGTCTTTGTAGTAAGGTATATTGATCACAATCTCAGTTGATTAGTATCAATAACAAATTTATTAGAATTTTTGATGTGTAACGAAATCGAATAGGATAAGGGAATTGTTATAGAAATTCTCACTTATTAAACATTTTCAAAACTTGTGTGGTAGAAATAAGCAACAAAAGAATTCAAATGGTTTTTAAAAAAGATTCACGTTCACAATTTAATTTATTGTCAATGTATTTTATTTCTTCATACTCATCTTCATCTCTGTGATAATCGCCTGTTTTTATTTGACCTATGAGATCTCAGTTCCTTAATTTTGAGAGTAAACATTCTAGAATTAACCTTATTACATAGATAATATCGGTTTACAATAATCGGTAGCTTCATTACACAAACTCCAGAAATTTTTAGCTATGAAGACAAGCTACTTTCAAGTAGTATAAACGTAGCGGCTTAGTGAAAACAAGTCGGATGTGGTCTTTTCAAAATACTGTCGAATTTATTCATACGTCAATGATTAAATTTGTTCAAATAGTAACTCACAAAATATTAGCATATCTTTGTCTTTATACTAAGTATTATATATATATATATACCCCAGCTAATAGATATGCGATAAAAGTGAGCAAAGAATTTCATGAATGAACAAGGTTTCGAGATCATTGAAGTGAATGACAAAAAATTGAATACTGATCCTGCATACATTTTGCACTGCATTGGAAATTTATGTTTAGTTTAGTGTTCATTGATTCAAGGCATTATGATGCCAATAAACTTACCTCCTCTTATTATTAGAGGGTATACCGATCAGTTAGGTTCTCAATAATATCTTAAGGATTTCTGTTAGTTAAATGGTTTTTAAATTTGTATCGTCAAAGGCATGCGTTGGAGAGACTCGGTAGGAGTTACACGGTCATTCCAACAATCACATTAGGAAGAACTCTTAAAGTCCAGCCTAGTGACGAATAATTCAAGAGTATACTTTAGGAAAAAACTAGAGAAGCAGTCAATCAATCGTGAAAGTGATGTTCACACTGAAGTAGAAGAGCATGATATCCAAATAACTGTGAAAAAAAGATATCTACAAGTTAGCCAAACCCAAATGCTAGGAAATATTTGTCAGTTACGGTGGCGTCTACTGATTTAATAGATGCAAGAAAACTCATCTTAGACGATTGGATTAATGGGAGAATAGTTTAACTGTTTTGTAGCTCATCAGTTACTTACCATTCCAGGACTACCAGAATGGGAGATGGAAATAAGCCCTTCACCTTGGCTCTTAACAAAGTTGGAAATTTCAAAGCCAATTTCGAGTGAGTGAGAACAGGAGGACTTGAAGAACGAATTTTGAGGACCTTCAATAATGATGGTCAGGTTTTAGTAATTAGAATAACTGAGGTATTAGCTAAAGTTTGGAAACTGCACGTAAACCAATCTGATTTGTTTGGTTAACTGATGGTCCCAGTTTATGAGAAAGGATAGAAATCCTCTTGTAATAACTACAGAGGAATCACTTTAAACCGCGGAGACTGGCCTCAACAGTTATCTAAGGCTTAAATAGGACTGATTATCGTAACCATTGGTTGGAGAATCTGAGTGGTATGGCTCAGAATTAGTCTCAGTATGATAGATGCATTCAATCTTTATTTTAGATAGAGTTCCGGAAGTGTTTTATACGTTCTTCATACCATGGATACCTTCTTTCTGCTCCAAATATATTCTCTGCGTTAAATGGGATTTTATGATCTTTAATAATACTAACGATTCTATTACTCTAGTACCTGTCTTAATAATTTTATCTCGGTGAGTAGACTAGATGTGACAACTTGAACAGATCCACGTATGTTCCCAGTTCTATACTACTTATGGTTGACCTGATTGAATTTATATAAACCAAGAACTATCATACAATGAATTCGAGGAAGAGTTCAAGTGATTGCTTAGTTTCATACTGAACAAGAGTACTAAAGTAAACCGAATTAGCTGAGAACTGATAAACGATATTGGAATTTAAGAAAGTGATATTATCACTCATTTTATTTGCAAAATAAAATGGGATTAAGATACAATGACTGTTTTTCACTAATTCATTTCTCGACATATTAATTATTTTAGTACTAATAATGTAACACCTAGATTGAATTTGAAAACAGCTTCAATCTAGGAATGACATCAACAGAAATGAAAAATGACAATACTACAATTCTTACCCCAGCTTTGAAACTTCATTATGCACACTAACCTCACAATGAATAGAGCCATTCCTCGGTAAGTACTGAGTCAGATTACAGTAGAAATAAATAATGATTACCCCATATTATGAATTGAGGTTGGATTATAACTAACCACATCACTGAATTAAAAAATGTCCCATGAACGTTGCATGCTACTGAGATCTTTCACACAAGATTTATTCATGAAATATATGGAGGGTACAATTCGACAGGTGGCTGAATACAAAATATGGTCACCAATTGCCCTAAATAATATACCTTTGCTAATGTAAAAAGCTATCCCAAGCAAACTTCAATGATTTTGTAGAATGTAACTGGATTCCTACTTAGAAAGTGAATAGTACTACGCTAGCTGTGAGAGTCGAAGGTTGTTTACAATTTTGTGTGATTAACAAAGCGGTGTCCAAAACGAAACGAAAATTTTGATATGAAAATCTCCGTATTTACTGTTTCGCCGGTTGATGTCTCTATTCATAATATGAGATAATCAGTAGATACAAGGAAGTGAAGAATTTACATTAAGTCGCTTATTAGCAAGTCCATAAAAATTGGTCCAGATAAGGGTAGAAAGCCGGAATTCTTTAGCACTCAATCCTGTGAATAGCTCAACAACAAAACAAGTCAACCAGTCAGTCACGCACAATGTTTAAATCACTACGTCATATCTTCGCAACAAGATGAAATTATCCAGACAAATCTCAGTAGCAGTAAATTCCGTACCAATGCTAGTACTAGAAAAGATATGACATATAAAATGATTCAAGAACAAATTCGTGGAACAGAAAAGAAGTATAAGATAGCTTCAGAACCCAAGATCTGAAAGAAGACAAAATGTAAATGCATGTCACCGCAGCCGATTTTGAGACGTCAAACATTGTATCCTATCATTGGTTTAAACAACTGCGCCCATCCCAACCAAGTAATTTAAACCTAATAACGTAGTTCAATCCACCAGTCAATGACTTCATGAACTAATACCGCATCTTGGTCCATACGGTCCTAGCTTTCTCCACCCTACTTCTACAATATCAAATGTCGCACGTCCGGTCGAGCGATTGTTGGGCATCCATAATAATTGCTTCAATTGATGGAAATCCGCTAGCTCGTCAGCTGATTGACGATGTTTAGCTAATACCAGTCGTCTTATTTCAGGATTACTAACTTGATGGTCCAAACGTATAGGAGTAACGGTTTTGAGACATCATTGATCGCATTCTAGTAACCTAAAAATCTGTATTCTTAATGACTACGTTTTACACCAATGACGTAACACAACACTTATTATTACTTTCAACACTCGCAACTTAATGTCACAGACTAAGTGATTTTGTGAATACTATTCAACAACTACATTAGATGATAACCATACAAAGTTATCCGTTATTTGAGCCTCCAAAACAGCAGGGGACAAAATATAGCAAACAGAATGACAAGTTATAATAATGAGAAGTGCATTTACCAATTAACAAATGGTATTAGTATAGATAAATAATCTTTCTAGATAAAATATCAACAAATTATATATATATATATATATATATATATATATATATATATATATATATATATATATATATATATATATATATATATATATATATATATATAAAGAAACGGAAAATGAAAACGCAGAAAAACTAATCTGCTATTAAAACTGAAATATAGAACAAATAACATTTCTTCCTTGATAAAGTTGTTCCCGAACGTAAAGTAAATTGACCACAATATTTAATAGTGTAAATATAGTTATATTTAGCGATAAGTGCGACATACTTATCTGTGCTGACTGTTATTAATGGTAATATGTGTATATTGAAAAAATTATATGCGAAACTTGTGGTTAAAAAAAGAATAACGAAGAGCTAAGCTACTGACATAAACATCAGTAATATATATGTACACATGTTAGATGTAATGGTGCACAGAATACAACAGATAACCGGGATTAGAGGGAAATAATGAAGGAAAATCTGTGTATTAAGAACACATACATATGTCTGCGTAAAAGAGCGCCTAAACAACTTTGACAGAGATGGTTGTGAAAAGCACAATTATTCACAAAGTTCCCGCAAAAAGACAAACAGAGAGTGATATTTGGAAAATTACACTTAATCACCAAAATGGAAAGTATTTACAGTAAAATCTGTGCTGGTATATATACTAACGAATATATTAGAAATAACATTGTAAGTGCCATTTATACAAATGTGGCGCGTGAGACAGTGAGGAAACGAGTACAATGTATAAATCAAATATTCATGGGCAGCTAATAATCATTACAATAAAAATAATAATAATAATAACAAATATAAAAAAAGGTTGAACTATTTAGAAATAACATCAACTTCAGAAGTAGTCAGTGAGTTATTACTATTATTGGTGACCGTTTCATCTAGTCTACTCTCTGTTACTGTTGTAATTGTAGTATGATTAGGTAATGATAATAAATCAGTAACACCTGATGATGGGACCATTGTAACCGTAGTATTCTCCTCTTGATTTTCTGCAGTGTCAGCCCCTAAAGTGACTGAGACAGTTTTTATACCGGAATTGGTAGAACCTTGTATTGATACTGTTGTTGTAGACTCTGTCGAATTGTTTGTTCCATTATTTGGTGTATATCGTTGAATATCACTGCGTAAAAGTTCCATTAGAAGAGAATTAGTTGATAAATAAGAAGATAGATCCAAATCAACAAGCATCAGGCGAGCAGCCTGACTTGTTTTGCGCAGTTCAGGAATTCGATTGATCAATTTGTTAAACTTATCATTTATATCAGGTGACGACTTGGTGACATAATCCATTAGTAATCGTCGAACAGATTCTTGATAGGATCGAACTTGAGAACTTGCTTTTAAATTGTTCAAATCTGATTTTTCAAAATAGTCAAAATATATGTTTAGTTGTGAACCAGTCAGCATATCAAAAACGTTTAACTTAGAAATCATGTAAGCTTCTACCATTTCAGTTTAAATTATTAAACTACACTTGTCTAAAATCACTAATCGCTATTTATGTGTGTTTATAACATAACCGTTAGATAATTTTGCATTAAAATCAGTCTGGAATTGTTTTTACAGAAATTTAGTGGTTATAATGTGACTGTAATGTTAATCTAAAAGTTATTTGCTTACCCAATGTTGTAGTAGGCTAATTATTCAGTGTACATCGTAACCAGTTATAGTTTCTTATTAAATGGAGTTCATAATTTTTTCAGAAATATTCGTTCGTTTCTATTTAAGCACGAGATGCATCATAAAAGAGTCGTAAATAAATTTTACCTGAAGAGGCTGAAATCAGTATAGTTTATTAAGCCATCATATAGAACTTGGAACCTGGAATTCACATGCTTTAGTTTACGTTAGTATACCATATTAGCACAGCAAGATAAAATTGTCGAGCCAAATCCTGAACATGGATACTACCTTGACGTGATGATCGTGCTTGCATATCATGATGAACAATCGAGCAATATTAGTTGTAACGTTTATTCCTTAAAGTCCCACCATTCAAGACGACTATAAGTAGCAACTTAAGGCATCGGAACGGAGTCATACTGTTGATCGTATTTGGAAGTAATGATAATTTATTCCTCGGATAACCAGCACCTTCAGCGATGCCAACTTGTCACAAAGGAAAGAAGGGATAGAAAATTTGGACTACAAAACTGTCACACCTCACATAACTTCACAGACTTCTATATCTGGAAGCAGGGCTTTTGAACTACGAGTTAATGTATCAAAAACTCGCAACAATCCCTTAGGTGTTTTGGTTATGCCTCCACACTTCCAAGACCACCGCTAATGCAGTTTCCTTTTCATGGCCTACAAGATACATGGTTCTGCAATATGAGCATCTGAAAAGCGAAAGTCGCCGTCGTACCTTCCAGAAGCACTCCAGACTGTACTGAATAGTTGATTAGCAACAATGTAGTTGTTGAAATGTTAAAGATTTGAATTTTGTGTGGTTGTATTTTAATAATGTCGCGTTCTTTGAGCTGAATAGTTAAATGAGAAAGCATCTACAGTTGTTCTAGAAAATACCGAAAATTGTATACTTCATGCTGAAGTCTTTCTGAAATCATCCTACAAGCAATAGATTAATTCGTTTTAATAAGCTTATTTGTGAATGATTGCATTCACAGGTTTTTTTCTAATCTTTGTGTGATTGCATCCTTGTTCAATATTGTGTACCGTTCGTCCAAAAATAAATGACTGATTGATCTCTTCTACTCCGTCCAGAGGATGTGACATCAAAAAAGTACTTAAAATGTCAGCCATTGCATATATCATTACACCATATATACTAGATAATATCTTCCACAATTTCAATACATAAGATTAACCTTGGACAGTCTTCTAATCTAACATTGTTGAGATAACTAGAACAACAGATTAGGAAAACTAAGTGTTTCTTTTGATGAAGTTAAAACTACAAAATGAAGAATGATCGATAAAAATTTGATCCAATTAAAAACCTTACGAAGTGAATAAAAATGTGAATTGCTAAAAGATTTCATTCAATGAGCCTGCTACGTCATTAGGTTCCAAAAAGAAAAAAACAGAATTGATTTACATTCCATTATTTTGCAAGTAAAATAAAAAAAGAACTCACCTGGTTGCATTAGGACAATGACCTTTAAACATGCATATTCCACAATATCTAGTTGTAATCTTGTTAAAGATTGAGTGAGTTGTAAAATTCTCTCAACTATTTCTTCAGCACCCATTTCACGTGCAGCTTCAAGATTGATACATTTACTTGAGGTGAGACGAATTTCCTAAGAACAATACATTTATTTACACAATAATAATAGGCTACATTGATAACAGTAAAATCACAGTTGACACAATATTCGTACGGTCTACCAGATTAAATAAATAAAATATATTTACATTGTTAAAAAAATTATTATTCTGAAAGGAACAACGAAAATATGACAAGTCATCTAAACTATTGAAGTGTTCTTTTTTTGAAATCATAATATAGAATCGAGTACGCAAGACCGATTGCTAACCGTTGGGATTAGAATAATTTTGCTAATTTGTCCGAAAATTTATCGATCCGGAAAATTAAGTCATTTTAAAACAGTTTAATTGTTTAAAGGAAAACCAATAAGAGAAAGAAAATATTTTAAACAAACCAAAAGACAGTGAAAAAATGAGCACATTGATACAGAATAATGAGTTTTGTGAAAATATGAGTAATTCCACCCTACAAATATACAAATTTGTTCGATATTTTAGATCTTAAAAAATAATAAAACAACAACATACATAAACAAGTAATTATTTAAGAATTGTACTGAGATTTTTAAGCCCTCTAGTGAAGTAAGTTGTGTTTGGTGAATATCTTCTGATAGATCAAATGTAATACTGAATCCTGTTTTAATTCAAGATGTATTACACCAAACAAATATCTGGTGAAACCACTTCACGAAAATAGTTATCATTTTTAATATACTATAAAATAAATTGAACTATTTAACCTGAGAACCCATTAGATAATAGCTCTGTTTATGTTACCTCACATATTTATTATGACTGCATTACTAAAGTTTAATGCTACAAAAGCCAAATAACCAGTCAATCGAATGGGATTTACAGTGGTAACACAAGACATACAATGAATGATTGATATACACACAGAGAGAAATTTAAATACTTACCGAAGGAGTAGGCAAAGAGCGCCAGCAACAATCAAGACACAGTAAGTCTGCCCAACAATTTTGTATTAAAAGTATTTGATCATCCGTGTCGAGTAAAGAGAAGTCTGGAAGTGCTCGAGACCAACGTACTGTTCGATATAAACGTTGATCTGCCAAATTCAACAGTGCGCGGTACACAGCTGCCTCGTCATCTGAAACCCCCTCAGGTGCTGCAGTTTCCGACGCAACCGCAGCATCGATTTCTAATGCATCTTCGGGTTCCGCTTCTATGGTCTCCTCCACAAGGAGGATATCCCGAATAATCTAGGGTACATAAGAAATATAAAATGAATCACTTATAATAGAAATTATAGTCTTTTAAAGAAACCCGTGGTAACAGAAACAAACATCTTAATAACTCTCTGTTGTTCCCCTAACACATTATTTTTATTAGCATACTCATTATTGTACGATATGATCTATTTTACACTTTGAAGAGAGGATTTTTGGCTGAAAAAATGATACTAATGATGGCTTTGTTAGGTGGTTGGAAGGAGCCGACAGAGAACCCTGGACCTAAGCTTCGTGCTAGCTAATACTCGTCAGCAAGCAATACCTAAAATCTGGAGGGAGCCCAGTTTCAAGGCCTGAGAGTCGACTTCCCTCAACCACTTAGCTATGTGGCTAACAGAATCAACGCAGGAATTCACACAAAAGGTATCTATGAGAAAACTAATGGTATGAAATTGTGGTAGAGCTAATGAAACAATGCAACAACAAATGACGATTAGCCCAGCTCAGATGCAACAAAATAATGTGCTTGCCTTCAAGTAATAGAACAAATAGCATATAAAGACAAAACAAAAACCTACCTTTGGGAGTTGTTCTCTGGTACGTGGAATCGACTCGTTTGAACCACCGATAATTACTTGTCTACCTAAATACGGCGAGACATTTGTTGAGAAATTAGTACCACCAACAATTCCGCTTCCACATTCTAAAATGTTTGGTTCAACACGCAGACTACCAGAATCTATTTCTTCATCATCATTATCATGAGTACCGAGAACACCAGGATCCAGATAAACACCACCACCCGCATCTTCTGAAGCTGGCAAACCATCAGGGCCTAAAGTATGCGCAGCAAGTCCGACAACAGAGCAAGAAAGTTGATCTGCATCATCTGACATAATACTTTGGTCCGTCAATCCACGTAGCATACTCCCGTCGAGATCTGAAGTTGAAAATTCCATAGCTGAATTAGAGAGGCCCAGACCAGGAGCGGAGTGAGTCCCACTAACCCGTGCTGCAATCTGACGCAGATAACGTGAACCAGGATACATGCTACGTCCACCACGTGTACGATCCGAACGAATAGCTATGCGAGAAATCCATGATTTACAGAGCAAAAAGTTATCTAGCATACTGAATGTTAATATCTTTAGATACACCGAAAATAAGCAAATACTTTACTAGTTTATATATAGGAAAATTAGATTAGAAACTCCTGAACAATTTGGATAAAGAACTTAGAACATTTGGTATTAGGAATAGTTTGAGTCGACATTCAATTGTAGCTGTTACCTTGACGCAGTGGTTTTGATAGTTCAATTGAACTATATTGACTAGGATAAGTTAGTTGGTAAGTGATATAAACAAAACCAGTAAATTTTAGGTCTCGTGATGGCGCTTCAATAATGACTGTACAGTAGATTTGATAGTAGTAAGGCGTCTATCATAGCCAACAAGTATGTCTAGTAGCTTTGTTGTCTCAGAAAAAGTTGAATCAAAGAAAGTAGGATATTGATCTATTAATTTCCGATGCCCAGAGTAAAGGTTAAAATCTATAGGATGAACACTAACAGACAGTAAATATTCTGAAAAAGATTGTACTTGAGAGAATTCGAACAGGCTTACCAGAAACTGACCTATCACGCCTCTAAGATGATAAGACTATGAACACTAATGTGGTTAGCCAGGAATTACTAATTACCCGCACACTTTTAACACCACTTCAGTTCACCTTACTAATTATCAACCATTTATTTATAGGGAGTATCAGATTTAGACAAAGAAACATTGATCTAGTGACTTTCAACATTAATTAAAAAGGGGACGTAAGTCATACAGATATCGTTGTGTCGAACCAATAAAGAACTGTCGCTCACATCAGAATATATTTTGGACTTTGATAATGTTTTCTTGTGAGCGCAAATGTATTTGCCTTACAGGAAAACTTCAGTTTATCTAAAGAATTGTTATTTCAAGAGTATATTCAGGGAATAACTAGCTAAGGACTTGAAAGTAGAACGGAAGTTTTTATACTGAAGTAGTTTGGTATGATACTTAGTTTGTTACAATAAGTTGGTTAACAAAATTTAGTAGAAATCAAGAAAGATATAAAAACCTTGATACCTTTATTCGAATTAATAAATATTTGAACTATGTTTTGAAAGGTCAGCTTTTTGTGTAACATTTAGACTAGGCTACTAGGACGATTGGTGGAGGGTTTTGAAGAGCAGCTAGACTGACTTCCAACTACCTTGAAGTTGTTATATATTCATATTATTACAATATTGAAAACTATACTACTGAATCCAGGTCCATAGAGTAGTCAGCTCCAATAAGTTAACTGTTGAAGTGTTTGAGAGTGGTAGTCTATGATTATCAACTAAACTGGACTCCTAGTTGTAGTTTGGGAGTTAGACTTATTTAAACCTAGTTCACTAAACGCTCCAATCTATAAGAAAGGATGGAAATTTCACAGTGATCACTAACATGGTTTATAGAATTATATTTGTCATAACTATTCAGTAACTACATGAAGTTTGGTATGGATAACTAAATCTCGTTCAACGTTTTCAACTATCGACATTTTTAGAAATAAGAAAGATATGTTTGCCTATTAAAGGAGAGCTACACTGTACAATAACCCTCTCTGCATAACATTGCGAGTATGTAACCGAAGACTTCCGAGAGAAAAGATTAAGCTTACAGAGAATATTGACTGGTAATATCTCAAGTAGTCAGGTTTAATCATCATAGGACTGGGCAAAAGTATGCCTGTTACCAAGCTGTATACAACAGTTGGACAAAACGATATGAACAAGATTAATTGTAGGGCAGTCGGAATAGTCGTGATACCAATGATGATGAGGAAGGTCAAACAATCACATTATAGCTTAAGAATGAAAAAGTTTACACGAAAGAATATCAGAACTAAATATAATGATTGAATTTGCGTCACTACGACCGATTCTGAGCCATGTCACACAACGGCTCCAACCACTGATCGAGATCATCTCGCAGACCCTAACTAGGTAGATGGATCCATTAAAATGACTCAGATCAATAGTCAATGACTTAATGGATTGAATCAACATTTTGCTTTGACTGACCCTAGCTTTCTGTCGACTTACGCCTACTACACCAGCCAACACCGAGCGCCATGGTACGTTTTTGGAAGTAATACATTTCTTAACCAACACAGTTGACCAAGATTCACAATCTTACCAGACCGATGCGTTCAAATAACTCATCTCTTACTATTAATTTACATGTTGACACTGAACAGTCGTCGAGCAACATTTTACATTTAGGAGATAACGCATGCAAGGCATTCAATAGATACTACATTTTGCCAGCGTCCTCAACAAATACAACTATGTCGATGAGTCATCAGAAAGATCCATCGCTGAAACGTTAGATGAAGTAAGTATAGCTTATAAAGGGTCTATGAAATTAGATCAGTTAATGTACGTGCCATAAATAGATATTATGGTAAAAACCAAAACGATTAGTAGTAAAATGCTCTGGCAAAGATATATTGTATGGTAATTAGGCAATCTTAATCTATTGTAGACTTACATAGTTCACATACCAAGATTACCTACCTTCAATACGCATTCCTTTATCTACACATTTTAGAAAGCGACAAGCTGGACATTTCTTGCGTGAAGCTACATTTATTTCACATCGAGAAGAAGCATTAGGGCGATGACAGGCATATCTTTTAGCATTCTGAACAGTCCGTTTGAAAAAGCCTTTGCAGGATTCGCAACAAAATATCCCATAATGATAACCAGAGATTTTATCTCCACAGATTGGACAGGGACCCAGTTTCGTGAACTGTTTGACATATTGCTGCCAAGTTGACTCACGCTGAAAACATTAGCCAGAAGAGAATGTTGAAAGGAGAGGAGGTTCAGGTATAATAAAACAGGTATTTTATGAAAACAAGAACTGACCATACTGTGTAGAATAAAAACGAATATTATGGAGACCAATGTGCAACTTATACAAAACTAATGTTTGAATTAGTGATATCATTTTTATAGATATTATTTATTTTATAATACACAAAAGGCTTGATACAACATAGCTTCAACACGTACGCTACACTAAGTTAAATGACGATATTAGGAAACAGAATGAAAATTATAAAAGGATATGATTTAAGTGAGAACACAACCAAAATATTAACATCACCCAGATCGAACGCGCGTGACATTTTATGAAAAATGTAATACAAATCCTTTTCTCTGTAAATGGGATTAACATTAATCAGTTAAGAGAGATGAAAATGTAAACTGATTATTTGCTAAGCATCAACCTTCAAATCTAACAAGCCAAAAACTAATGGTATGGAAACAATATTAATTACAGTAAACAGGCTTGTGAAATAAAACGTATGAAGAATAAAATACAAAATTCAGAATAATAACCTATCCTTAGCCACTTTAATTAACAAAAACAAGGATACCTGAGGAGTTCCGGAGGATGAAGACCCAGATACACCTGCATTTGCTGAAATTGTTACCAATCCCATTGAACCTCCTTGACCTTGGGACGATCGTGATCCAACTGTACTCGAAAACAACTCAATACCAACATTTGATCCAATAAGACGAGTAGAGCCTGCACTAGACACCAATCCATTGCCGCCACAAGTAGATACGCCTAATTGTCGCAAAGGAACTAAAGTGGTACCACTACCACTGCTTGAACCAGGAACGATTGTACCTGTAGAACCAACGTGAATACTAGTTCCAGCAACTGGTTGTTGTACTAGAATAATACTTCGATCAGTTGAACCTAAATTAACACTGCTTGTGTTAACAGTTTGATTATTATTAATACCTATTCCAGAAGTACGAAGCATTGTGTGTCCTAGAAACAGAAAATGTATAGTTATTAATTTAATCCCTGTTATTTACAGTTTATGACTGATTCGGTGATCATAGTGAAGCAACTTATAACGTAACTCAACTTATCGATTTCGAATCCCACATCATCAGCACTTCATCGCTTTATTTTTTTCTGCACATGTTTTCAAACGATTTTAAACTTCCATAAATTCTCCAACTATTACACAATTCATTTCACCAGTTTTCGGACTGAGTGTAATTACTACCCCACTTTTATGTTCCTGAATTTATATATATATATATATATATATATATATATATATATATATATATATATATATATATATATATAGTTATTACTAATAATCGTTATTATTTCAATTCTCTCTGTCACTAATGTTTCTAACTTCATATATCTCAATGTTGTATTTTAATACGAATACAGTTATAAGCAACTGAGGAACCACAAAATAAAATGGATTTATGTTATTATACCTCCATTGTTGTTTTGACTTTATTCAAATTCATAAAGGGAACTAACTGCATGAAATTATATTGGTGAAATTCCTGTGTGCATTACCAATAACAGATGTAAATATCTCAGACATCATGGTTACTTCGATAGACGATACTTGATGATGAACCATCTGGTCAAATTAGGAAATCATTCACATCCATCGGAGCAAACCTAGACTTGGGACTTTACAGACTTCAATTAAGAAATAACTCAAATACAATTTAATCCAATCATTATAGTAACCTCTGGTAGTAAGAATTCGACCCTCAGTGAAGAAACTAACATTTGAGGCATATAGAACTGATTTTTCAGACAGAAGGAAATGGGCATCTCGAATTCCACTGGCAAACTGCTGGCTAATGCAATCAAAAAATTTTAAAAGATTATCACGATGATACAATTTATTAATCCAGGATAACAAGCAAAACAAAACATATCTCAGTTGAACACAATGAAATGATTGCATACTAGTCTATGGTACAAAAAGCCTTCAAACATAGTTATAGAAACTAAACGATGCTCCATTCAGAAAGAATACTAGTAATAAGGGATATTTAATCCAAGTATTCGATAGCAAAAGAATACAGATTTGGTGAAAATAGGTAAGTGTTGTATCTAATGAAAGTAATGTCTGAATAATTATACTCGAAATTAAAAAACGGGCATCTCGTGCAAACATAATATATGCGAATGCGAATCAATTTAAAATTAATTTTCGCCCACCTGCTGTAACAGCACGTATAGGTGTGCTTGCAAACACCTGGTTCTCTCCACCACTTGCTAGCTGAGCTGCTGGGACTAGAATGTAAGTGGGTTGTTGCTGAATTTGTTGTCTAGGATTGCTTGACTGGGCTGCGACTGGTTGTTGTGTTGCAACGGTTGGAAATGAAATTATTTGAGTGGTAGAACTAACAAAAGAAGGTATAGTGCGTACAATTTGAACTCCATCGGAACCCGACTAGAAGAGAAGGTAAAGTACAAAGCGACATATGTAGTAATATTATACCTTAATTATTGAGCAAAAAGGTATGTGAATTGATGACAACTACTTGACATTATTTATGCGGTATTCTGAAAACTTGTTATGACTAAAGTGTAGTTACGGGATACAGTCTAAAACATAGAATTTAATTTCGAACTATCCGACCAAAGGTATTCTAAGTTGGTATAACAATTGACAGAAATAATAACACTGGAGTTATATTGTCTAGCATACCAATCATTCTGATGATATTGGGGAATGAAATGTAATTTTCTAAAAATTAAACGTGCTCTTTGTCAATAACAAAAAAATTACCACACAATGATATAATTTCATAAAAATCCAATCTAATTGCTGTGCGATAAATCAACAAATAGTTTAGATTAACTAATATCAGGTTCTTATTGTCTCACCGAATTTTACACACCCAAATGCCCTGGTACGGCCGAGAGTGGGGAGAGTCCGCTCTCCTTCTCCAAATGCTCTCACATGGCCATGCGTATATAGCCTCTGCCAGGAAAGTCCTACTCACTGCATTCTCGTGGCGGGGGTGTTGTTTACAAAAATGAGAGGACGAAAAGCGAATGTCCGGCGCTTTAACCAGACCCCAAACCAATGGTGCACATGGGCTCCAGTATCCTACGGGAACAAATGGCGTATGAACCAATTGTTGGTCACCGGCTACCATGGGACTGCATCTCCTCACGATGCTCCACTGCCTTGTGGGTCAGACGTTCAGGTCAAAGGCTCGGGGTGTGGCCCCCTAAGAAAACCACCTGCTTCGGTTTGGGCACCCGGGCAGTATCACAGCCCTCACACAAATCAATTGAGATTTGTGTGGCGCATATGTATTTGGTGCCTCCCTGTACCTATACTTATGTGTTAAAATAAATAATAAATAAATAAATGTGATGTAATTAGTAGGGTAACTAGCGCGGAGTACTTCGTTTGTGCTGGATAACCACGAAATCGACAGAAAACTCTGGTTATTTTTTACCTTCCGGCAAAACTCGACAGCTTTTGACAATTTACCAAAGTGTACTAACTTTGTACAGGCTGTTTACTTGCAAACTACTGGAGCTAAAGCCTACGGTAGACTGTCATTAGAATTAATAATAGCAATTGATGCTGATCAGGACTGTCCACTTTATCTAACGATTTTGTAAATGTTCATTTAGACATAACGCATTGATACGGCTATTATTACTACTGAGATTTATCTGGATAATTTCATCTTGTCGTGAAGATATGACGTGGCGATTTAAACTGATGCCTAAACGTGCCAGATTTTAACACTGTGCATGACTGATTGACTGGTATGTTACCATCAAGTTATCAAGGTCATTGATCTCCCAAAAAATTGAACCAGCTATACCATTCGGTTGCTGAATAGCATCTGTCATGTTTTCTAATCCTTAGTGCTGACTGAATTTTGGGATCTTACAGAGAATATCGATATTGATAAAAAAATATCGGCTATTCGGCAGCGCCAAGAATATTCTGATATAGGATTACCATCCGTTTATGTTTTTATACAGTTATCTACTATTGAATGTTCTATAATTGTATAATAGTATATTTTGTGATCTAGTTTTAATTTCTTCTATCCAGTATTTGGGAGTTAAAGTATTTCATTAACTCAACTAGTAGTCGTTGCTCTAGATCAGTTTTAGAAGATCAACTCACATTAGACGAGTCCAAAGGGCGTATCCAACATCTTGGTTTTATCCCGAGAGTTCAGAGGATTCTAAATTGTTTTCAGGCTTTCACTTATCAAGACTGTGTCGCTTGTATTTTTAAGATAGGCTAGTTGGTCTTTGAAAAGTCTGCAGCAAACATAACTGCTTCTATTGGTAAGGTTATGATAAAGTTAAAAAAGTCCATTGGCCTTTTCGACTAGATGAGTGGAATATTGTCATCAGATTACGGAGAGAAGTTATCGGTTTGGTTGAAATCCGAGTTCTGAATAAGGTATGGGATCTGTTGGAATATGTTAGTCAAATTGGTTTTTCTACGATCATCACAAGTTAGTCAGTCACAAGTAAAGTACGATTTGACATATAAATCGGTTCAAGTCGCCAAAATACATCAGCACAATGAGGTGAAGTCAAAAAGATTGATAACAAAATAGCAGAAATAGTGGTACTATCGGTCGTTAAAAATAAGGCACAGAAAATCTGATCAAAACGAAGACATTAATCGTGGAATAGAGAGTAAATGATTTTAAAACTTGAGGTCCAGGGAAAAGCAAAAAGTGAATGGATGTGTACCATTGTGACCGGTTATGAGACGTTACATATCGTCTCTACGATAATCGCACCCAACCCAAATAGGAAGTCTGAACCTACTAACATGGATCAACCCAACAACCAATTGTTTCATGAACTAACGACACGTCTTGGATTGTTCACCCCTAACTTTCTACCAACCCAATACTATCTCAGACGTTTCGTTTATCACACAAGAATCCCTGATTTTCCTTATTCATCGGGTTAGTGAACAATAAAGACAAGTATGGTGATGTTATTCTTTTTTGTCACCTGGCATCTCGGTTATTTTAATAAGTAACACTCGGTGTGGGGATATGCAGTTAGAGGGACTATTTGATGACGATCAACAGATCATTCCACACCGGGAATCGGATAATTACACGTTAGTCGAAGATAGAATACTTTCATTTGTCAAACAACATAAGCCATGAAGGTACGTAACAAAGAAATTAATAGATGGAAAAGAGATAGTGGTAAAGTTTGGGATTTAAAAAATACAAGAACTAGAGAACTGGACTGATCTAAAGGGACAGATAATGGCTACTACAATTTGATTAATCGGAGACAGAGAAAAATGTAAAATCTAACTTTGGGGTGTGTCATTCCAACATGCCACTCTGTATATGAAAACATTGGGGAAATTGATAGGAATAAGAGGAAATGAAAGTAACGATATTCATACTAGTAGGGAAATAACTATCTTCCCACCTGAAAAGCCGCATAGTTTTAAGATCCCAATTCAAAAACTGTAGAATAACCACTGTTTAGCCAGAAAACATTCCGATCTCGAAAATAAGTAAACCAATGTATCTGTAAATATTATGATGGTGCCTGGAGAAACTTATGTAACATATGAAAACTGATTAATCAAAGGAGGCTGACAATTAAAGTCTGAACTTTCGTTCGGTCTTTGCAACTAACTTTACAGCACAACGGGATCCATAGTTTTATGTAGACAATACGGAAAGCAAGCAAATTCTAGTATTAAAGAGAAAGATCTTATCACCTAACTGCAAACCGTGTACCCAGTTACACAATGGAAATATAATATATACTCCGAGTTGAGAATTAGACACCATTATGACGCTAGTCATACTGCTACAAATGTGATTATGGTGCGCACAAAATAGAGAAGAAATCTATCCTACTAGCAGATATTTTAAAACGTTTTATAAAAGTTTAGGATGAGTAAATCAAACACCATTGAAGTTATTCGGATAATTGTACCACAAAAGTGGCCTTTACTACTAATAAGTACAGACAATTCTGAAATATGTTACACAAGTATTGTGACTATTTAACCATAGATTAAACAAACAAGTACTAAACATTGGCAAAATTACAGCTAATACTTAAACTATTTGGTTATTAAACTTACGCTGCCAACCTGTAAAACACGATGAGGGATGCTGGAAGCTATGGTTTGTATTTGGGATGCCGTACAACTAGATACGGCAGAGTGTTGAAGCGAAGAATTTTCCAATTTTGTTTGAACCCCTTGGTCACCCGACTTACCACTGAATTTAAGCTGGATTCGCCGGAAATAAAACCATTAAAAAACATCTTTAAGTTAAATACGATAAGACTAAGTAGGAAAAATTGTACGGTAAAATCAACACTTTACAGCCATTCGTTGAGTAGTCAATTTTTATTATTAAGTACAGATCCTCATATATTCATTGCTTCAACTATTTTATAAACACAAATAATTCAGTAACTTAATTTCAGGATAGATTACAAAATATCATGCTCTAAAATGCATCACAGGAGCTGTCAACATTACCGACAGATGACTTTTATCTGAATTAAACGATACCTAATACGAAGGAAATCCGATCACTTCCGAAATTCATATTTCCAAATTATTTATTATTTATTTGAACACATAAATATTGGTACAGGGGGGGCACCAAATATAAATGCGCCACACAAAACAATGATATTTTGAAGAGAAGGAGAAATATATATATATATATATATATATATATATATATATATAAAGTAATGAACGTGGGGAATTGTAAAAAAAAAGAGAGAACAATGGTGGGGGAAACGGAAAGGTACAATCAGAAGAGATCTTTCAGTTAAGGAAGATACAACCACTTTTTATGAAGAAAGTAAAAGAAGGTTACAGCACGATCGCCACTGGCTTCTACTCTGAGCCATATCTGATAACGTCTCTAGCCACTGCGTTACACCGTCTCTCGGACCCCAACCAGGGAGTCGTGAAGGACCAACAGAAGCTAGCCCTTTGCAGCTTTCTTTCATACCACGACACCATGTCATATACTGACCACCTCTCCGCTTTTTCCAACCAGTCCGAGTCGGCAAGTAATGCACGACGAGGAATTCTCTGGAACGACATTCGTAGAACATGTCCAAGCCACCGAAGTCAGTGTTTCAAGATGGTGACACCAATTTCATTATCGTCTCTGTGACCGAACACTCGATGCCGAACCTCTGCACTACTGACATGGTGTTGCCACTAGATGCCAGCAATCCTTCGGAGACAGTGATGATCGAACACAGAGAGTCGTCTAACATCCTCAACTCGGAGAGACCAGGTTTCACAAGCATAGAGCAAAACTGCTCTCACCGTCGCGTTGTAGATCCGACCTTTTACAGCCATACTAACATCACGAAGGCGCCAAAGATGGCTCAGATTGGCATAAGCCGCTCTGGCTTTCACTATACGTGCATTGATCTCATCACTCACACCACCACCAGCACTTATGCAGCTACCTAGATACACGAACTTCTCGACTACTTCTATCTGCTCACCATCCAGAGTGAGTACAAGATTGGTATCCTGCCAGTCTTGTAGAAGAACTTTGCACTTCGAAGGTGCAAAGCACATACCATACCTACGGACATTGATTGCCAACTGATTAAGTGCGGATTGCATGGCTTGGGCATTCTCGCACAGTAAGACAACATCATCCGCATACTCAAGGTCGAGAAGTCTTTCTCCAGGCAACAGATCCACACCACCATTACTTACATCCGTCAGAGCTGTTTCCAGGATGTCATCGATGGCAAAGTTGAAGAGGAATGGTGAGATTGGGCAACCCTGCCTAACTCCACTGCTCGAATGGAATAGTGGAGAAAGGTGATTGTATGCCCTCACTCTGCCTGAGGTGTTTGTGTATAGGGCAGTTGTAGTCGGTACACAGACGTTCACTTTATTTTATCTACTGTTACAAAGCAAACCAAATGTTGCTAGTTCAGTCATTGAGGTGTTCTAAATATCATCATTATATTAAAAACCGCAGTAATGATTCATTCGTTTCAGAGCCTGATTGAACCTTATTTCGTGATCAGTTAACCAATTAAGTAAGATGTCTTCATGGTGACCTATCGTCACTTGATAGCTTGTCTTGACAATACATTACTGCTTCAAGCCAAAGACAATGACGTACTAATGAACTTAGCTCGCGTAGGAAAACCATGACTAACCTAGCCGTTTGCTGCAGATCTGAGTCTGTTCTAGTGACTAACAGTAGTATCCGTTACAAATACTAATCGTCATAATCTATATGGAGAAACTCTGAAGAACGTTGGACTTGAGGTGTTGTAAGGCCTAGCATAACTTACCAACCTACGGGTGCCAAGAACGTCAGCGAGTAATACAACTGGAGTTCATGAAGAAAACTAACATAACAGGTTATGGCTTCAGAATCTTAAATTATACCAAAAATGATAATAAGCACGTGTAAACACTACGCGACTAGGACTAGCAGTTATACCAAGATGCATAATGAAAATAGTATGATTACGTATAACTACAGATAATAGTGTTATTATGAAAAACCACTACAAGTGAATGACCGAAGAGGCATACAGAAATTACAGCAGTAATAGCTCATCCTGATGAGCTAACTTACATCGATTACAATCTTGCTATCTTCTCGTAGCTGAATCTGACCAGACTGGGACAAGTGCATGATAAGTTCTTGCAATTTTTGTTGACTCAGAGTTGATCCTTGGGTCCCGTCTGGGAGATGGATTGTAACGTACGTTGTAGCAGGCACATGATCATCACTAGTAGACACTGATCCCGATGACTTTGGTGCACCTCCCATCATGAGCTTATCCAGAGATACAGTAGCCTCCAAACTTTCATTTTTTAAATCATCTTGGATTTCTGTTGGACTCGTGACTTCAGACGCTGCCATTCCTTCATTTAACTAAGAACAAAAAGTTACATAAGATCCTTTACTGCATGGAGGAGAAATGAGTAGGCACGACTTAGTTGATATATACAATCGCATTAACAAGAATTTTGACATAGCTATCAGCCGCAAGGACGTCAACCCAAGCGACCTTCCAAAGTGACCTTCGAAGGTCTTCTGAAGGGCATAGCCTTCAAGGAGAAAAGCGGTAAGTGCGGCGAAAAACCGATTACAATACGTTACAAATAAAGGAAACACGTCTGTAAGAGACACCTTCGCAACACCAACTCACCATAAGAGTGAAAAAACAAAAATGGCCGACCAAATACGACGAAATTCGAATTTCTACTTTGCTGCCGAGGAAATATATTTAGTGTATTAAAAGTATATGTGATGTATAAAGAACATGATCTTCGCTACTGAGGAGCTTTATTAGACAGCAGCATAACATTTAATTGAAAAGACACTACTCTACACAGTGAGCATCATCATTAATTACCACATAAGTCTAGATTTATTGTGGTAAGTTTCAATGTTCAAATGTTAAGCTTTCTGACCAAATGTTGGAAATACAAGTTTATCCTGAAAATATGTCATTGACAAAATACATATTAGTGTGAAAAGCTAGTTTTCTATGAACTGGGTGACTTTAAGAAATGAGTATGCATTACCTAAATGACGTGCAAAATCTTAAATTCACTTTTTCTAACCTTTGAGGTCAAATTTAAATGCGTAATATGAAGTGCCTAAAGTCGTTCTCAGTACGTTTTGAAGATGATTATCACAATTGGTGAACAGTAGACCTCTTGTAATTTGTTTACTTAGAATTACTATTTTCTACGACATTCAAAAGGGTCGTAGTGAATATTTTATTCACAACTACATTAAACACGGAACTCTATTGTTACGAATCTCCAACTATATTCCAGTTGCTTTTTCAGCTTTAAACCAGTCAAAAATTGAATTATTTTCAGTGGTCTTTTGGAAATTTTGTCTCGGAAAGTGAAAAATATCCATGAGGCGCCGATAGAAGTTGCTTATCAAAGAAATCCCTAGTTTGTTCTACTCTAGCTATTCCTGTTGTGTGGTGAATTAGAATCTTGGTGCCGAACACTTTCAAAAACCACGAAATCGTCCACTTAAACATGTTCATTCGCGGTTATTGGTCATTCGGATGAACATTCCGATGGACAATGTTCTATAATGAGGATTTTTCTGTCTGCTAGTTTGTTCTGTGTGGGGTCGTTTTCTCATAGCTAAACTTAAATACCACCGTTTAATGGAAAGAAAATAGCGGAATATTACATCAAGCCCTCCGTATTTTAATTACGTGGGTTTGTTGGGTGTCTGTTTGGCTGCAGGAATACTACGTTGTCCCACATTTAATTCGTCATTTGCTGCAGCAAAATCACGAAATCACTGGGAAAAAAGCACTAATTTAGCTTTCTCTGTAATGTAGTGTACACGTTGGCCCTATTGTTGCTTCGTTTAAAATTGGACGGTGCGGAATGCCATAATGTCATACAATATGCTTCACAATCATCCTTGTAGTAGTTTATAGTTGGTTCGTGATCCATGGAGCAGAAGGATATCCTCGGATGAAAAGGAAAGTTTGAAGCCGGTTAACAGAAAGTATTAAGGATCGAAGTCATAAGCAGGTCACTGCTGCTGATATGAAGACTATAAAAGCTCAAATCATCGCGGGTAAGTGTAAAAAAGTATATTTCAGGTTGTTATACGCGACTGCAAGTATTTGATAAATTGCTGCCAATCGGTGAACTGATAGAGTATTCAGAGAACGGATATGTCACCATAATCTGCTTTAGTATATGTGAGCAGATAGGATTATATAAAAAATATTCACAAGTACTTTGTATTGATTCTACTAACAGTACCAATAATAAAAAGTATTTGTTTTTTTCCGGTTTCACTTCGTAGACATTCGTTATTCTAGTTGGTAGCGTCCTGTTCTGCTTGTATGGACGCAGATGTGACCTGGATCACGGATAAATTCAGAAAAACAATTGGAAATACGTCAGATACACAAAGTTTGATTATAAGTTGCGCACGAGCGGAAAGCACGGCCGTCCGTATTACACACAGTAGTACGAATATAATTTTGTGCACCGCTCACATATGTTGCGTTTACCGTAAAAAGGTACACCAATCATGATTTTAATAAAACTGCTTTTATAATGGTTACAAAATATTGAAAACTTACCTCAGTAGGTTATTAACCGCAGAAACTGTTGGAAGATATTGCTTGAAAATTATTTATGCTGTAGATTTACTCCGTATTTCAGAATTATTAACCAGAGACAAACGAGTAGGTCAGTATCTGCACCGACTTCGGATGTCTCGTAAAAGTATGTAAGCCGCAGCGTTCAGTGGAAATGATTTGACTCTCGTTAAGAACATGAATAATCGTGTGAAGCCATTGAACAGTCAACTAAAAAGATTTGTACACAAAACTGATAGTTTGATCAAAGTTATGCACAAGGTTTTCAAGTGGAATGCCATAACATCGAGAAGGTGAACTGCTGAAGAAACGATAATAGCCAGCAGATGCTATAAGCACAATGCTTTACGATGACGACTTCTGCTGACTAACCTGCTTATTCTGTTTGCCCGGTTAAAGGCGTTATTTGAACCGGAAAAATGCGTTTTTTTGTATGGAATACGAAAGTGATGACTGGTTGTTCGTGATTGACTGCGGCAAGCATTATGAAGTAAATACAAGCATTTGCGAGTGCAAATGTTGAACATTTATGACATGCCGATATCCATGCCGTCATATCATACTGGCATACGTAAGAAGACAGACTCTTACAAGTACGCTTAATCAATTACAAAATATAAACTGTACAACACATTATATCCTTAGACGATGCAGCTGATAGAAGATAGATAACACACATAACTTCCATAACAACACGACAATAACATTACCCAGACGGAGTGAACAGTATATACGGATTCAGCGAAGCCGAAAGATGCATAAACAACATATTTTTGAAAAATATGGTGAACACTTTGTGATGATGGTGGAGAGAAAAGTCGACAGTTTTTACTTACGTATCATCAATTACCAAGTAAGACTGCAGTTTTTCATACACTTTGTGCTTTATTCTTTACGATAAAAAACACGGTTCGGAATATAACAAAATGTGAAGACGTGACAAGAACTGTTTACTACAAAGACTTCTTCATCATTGTGTTTTTGACTTCACTGTATATACAACTTGTAAACTTGTCTTTCTGCATCAGATGTTATTCTTTCTTAAACAGTTGTAATAATGCATTATTAAACTTTTTCCCAATTCTTATTTTCGTTTTTTAGTAGTTTCATGAGCAGGCATACCGACTATCTTAACGGACAATTGTGGGTGAAGACTAAAACCAACTTAATGTTTGCTTTATAAGTACCCAGTTCGTTAAGAAAACTTGTAGTACTGCATCAGTTTAGAAGTTTCGCCAAAATTTTGCGTTGGATAAATAAGTTTCACCGTTTTGAGATAAGATCTTTTATCATAATAGTATTAATACCGAACTTTCTTTCGAAATAAGCATCTTTAGGACGGTTAGACGCATCTCTGACCGTACATGGTTATCGGATTTTTATTTACTGCCTGTAAGTTAAATACCGGATTTTGTAATGGTTATCAGTATGCCAGAAAGCACTCTTATGTCAAGCCAGTGTTGATAAGGTAGCGCTCGTTTCAAAAAGTGGAGTGATTTTTGTACTGGTTGTGATTATCATTGCTTTGTCTACTAGTTGCAACAGAAAGCATTCTCGGTCTACTTTAAATAAAAGTACTTTGGTTATAGTTTGAGATTTCTTCTAAACTTTGTCCTGTGGTACCTTTCTTGCTTACTCATTGACTGACACTCGTGCTCACATTGTGATCATAGTGTGTTTTAAACGTTTTAAATCAAATTACAATGGTTAGTAAGACTTATAAATATGGACAACCAAAATGCTTGTTCCCCGTTGAGGAAGGGATGCAGTGCGGCGAATGTATAAAGTGGTACCATAAGATGTGTACCCGTCTAAGTCCTACGGCATACAAAAGATGCTCGAAGCCGAACTCGCATTGGCTTTGTATGTTTTGCTGTACAAATAAAAAGTTATTAATCCAGGAGGCTATGAGCCTATTGGCTTTGGCCTGTAAGAAAAACGATGGCGGTCGTCCTGACACCACGAGCACTGACATTGAAGAATGTGTCAGTGTGGTAAGTGTTGCTACCTGACCCGTTAAACACCCGATTGTGATTGATGGAAAAGTAAAAACAGTGTTAACATTAACGAGGAGTGAAGTGCTGCCAAATATTGACATTAAAAATCATACACCTTTAGTGGAAATTGAAGACCCAGATAACACTGTCATCGTTCCAAATAGTCCCAGTGTGACTGTCCTGAGTGAGGATAAATGGACTTCAGCACGGAGAAAAAGAAATGAAAAGAAAAAAGCTGTAGGCAAACCGCAGCTGGTTAGCAAGCCATTGGAAGAGACGGTATCAGAAACAAAAATTCCACTGAGTGTCAAGACAGATCTCTCTGAGAGGTCAGTCATTTTTCATAAGTTAAGAGAATCTTCCGATAAGAAACCAAAGGCTAGATTTGAACATGACTTCAATCACATTAAGTCCTTAATAAGCAAACTACTCCCAGATACCGTTTCAGGAGTTAGCATTTGTAAGCTTTATAGAATAGGACGAAAGGTGGATTCTGAAAGCCCCCAGAAATACCGCCTCTTGAAGGTTACATTTGCCACGGTTAAAGAAAGCAACCTGATTTTAGGTAACTCACGCAAACTGATTGGATCAGGGATATATGTCCGTGAGGATCTCAGCCTAGCTGATTGTATTAAGAGACGAGCTGCAGAAGTGGAAATAAATGAGCGTCGCCGAAACGGCGAAAGAAACCCTGGACAGTCCCAAAGAAGAAGAAACACGGACACCCCTGGATAGGCAGGGATATTCGACGTTTACTAAGACAAAAGAAGAAATGTTGGGATGTCGCCATCCGCCTTGGCACAGCAGGTACGATGGAACACTATAGAACGGTAAGAAACAAGTGTATAACAAAAATTCGAGAAGCTCAAAGAAAATATGTAATGCAGTTGGCGCAATCAGCACTCAAGAGGCCCAAGAGAATGTTCTCGTACATAAACTACAGAACAAGGATGCATCATTGGATTCCAAATCTAATTAAAGAAGGGAGTGAATCTGAAATGGTAGAGGAAGATCAGGACAAAGCAGAGGCTATGGCTGACTACTTTGGGGCAGTTTTCA